TCACCCTTGAAATGGTACCTGTAGGGATTTCCAAGGAGACCCCAGGGCTGTGCACACTCTGGGGGTGTCCTCAGGAGGCTCTGTCTGTGACCAGATAATAGAGTAAAAATCCCAGCATCTTTCCCTCCAAATTTAAGAGGGAAAGACAGATAGAAGAAACTTTGTTCTTGGCAAAGGCTGATTCCATGACTTCCCTTATCCCATTGGTACCTGATGTATTCATTTTGCATTTCATAAATAAGTTTCTAAGTAATGCAAAATTGTATTTAGTTTTTGAAAAAAATTAGAATATTTCATAAAATGTTAAGGAAAGCAAACCAAAATTCCCCTGGATGTAAGAGGAATATTTTTAATATAATGAGATCTAATTTTTTATACAAGCCTTACGAAGATGTCCTTTTCACTTTTCACAATTCACTTGTTCATCCATTCTCTTTTTCCAAATGCCTGTATCAGACATTCTTCATATGTTGGCAGTAAAGCAATCAGAATTCCTGTCTTCATGGATCTTACATATATTGGAGGGGGCATGTAGAATAAACATGCATAGAATAGGATGTGAGGTGGTGATAATGCCATGACTGAAATGGAAAGCAGGTACGTGGATGCAGGATGATGTCATCTTTCTTCGGAGAGGGCCTGGAAGAGGTCTATTTGAGCAGGTGACTTTGCTCCAGAAGTCAGGGAGCAAGTCAGGGACCATCTGAGTCAAAGAACAGCGGCTAGAGGAGCAGCTCCTCCCCTCCAGGTCTCTCCTGGGACTGAGCAGTCTATGTCAGCTGGACAGCTGCTCCCCAAAACCTGTGCTCTGAACTGTAGCCAGAGTCCTGCTCAGCTGTTTTCTTCTTAAGCACTAAATTTAAGCCAGGTCTGTGCCCTGTCGCCTCTTACTCTGCTGATATCAGAGGCTTCATGAATCTTTGATCCTACCCTAAAGTTTTTGTTTTCTTGGCAAACAAAAACATTCTTTTTATAACCCAGACCCTCAACTGCTGAGAGGAAGCTCTGTTCCAGAGAACATTCAAATAGAAAGCCGATTCAGTTCTCGAGAACGTGGGTGTTTTCCAGCAAGAAGAGGTTTGCAAGGCGCTGTTGAGCAGGCATGGCAAGTGGGGCAACTTCCTGAGTCACGTCTTTATGTTTTAACTTCATTTTGTTTCAAGTGAATTATTATAGCAGAGGCATTTTTTTTTTTCAAATCCAACTATTAAAATATGATTTGGAGAAATAAGTGGTTTTTGGATTATCGGTTTATTTGACTTCTCTCATTATAAGACATTGAGGTAACTTTAAAAGTCAGACTATTAATTTGCTGTAAGCACTCACAGAACCCTTTGAATCCAATGTCTCTTATTTCTTAAAAATGCCAAGAAGGTTTCAGAAATGTTTATTTGGAATCTAAACAATTGGAAAATTCAAATGATCTTTTTTATTCTTATGTACTCATAAGAGAAAATATTTCTAATAGATATAACATATAGACAGGTTATATGTTGAATAAAGTAAAGCACTCATGGGCATGAGGTAAATTGCAGTCAAATAGGATTCTGTTAAAGCTTTCCCCACTCCTGTAAATCCACAGAGCTGCGAATGGTTGTTGAACTTCATAGTCATCACCAGCAGTGAATGGCTTTAGAGAAACGAACCTTTAAATTATGGATAGCTCAGCTTTAGGGTTAATGCAGATTCCTTATTGCTTTTCAGGTCACTTCTCCGAAATTAGTAAGGGAAGCTTGGCTCCTGGAAGCCTCAGAGAAACAAAGCAGTGTGTTCCCAGACTCTGGTCACCATTTCTGGGAGGCATTTACTATGCTTGTCTTGCTTTTGGGTTTTTATCTTGAGGGAATTAGGAATAGTAAAAACATATATGTGGTCATGTAATAAGATAACTTGAGAAGTTCGTCTGCTTTTGTTTCCTAAGCATTTCCTTCTTCCTCTCTTCTACTTCACAAAAAATAACACTCGCTTTATCAAATGATCTTAACATACTTCATGTGTAAATCCAAATTCTGGCTGCTGGGTTAATATAAAAGAAAAGTTTAATTTCTTGGGTGATAGATAATTCATATTTAATTTGTATATAAGAGGATTTATATTTTAAACCTGTAGCCTTGTCCCAGAAAACTTTTAGTAGTATTAACTCATCATGGTTGAAAAGAGAAATGGTAGAGTTTCTTCTGTGTTGAAAACTGATTGCCTCTGACTTAATAGTCTAGAATGAGAAAATTTTCTGGTGAAAAATGGGTACCAAGAGCCTTGCAGGTTTGTGATTTTTGTGGCATTTGACTTGGGTATTTCAAGCTGCCATAGTTTATAGTTTAAGCACTTATCACCCCCCCCCCCCCAAACAACTCCAAAGAATATAGCATGTTTTAATTTGAGACCGAGTTGGCCATCCATGGAGATTGTCAGGGCGGGCATCTCAGGATGCTGTGTGGCTGGAGTGAGCCCGTCCACTTCCTTGACAACATGTGGAGCACATTATTATGGTCCTGGGCTTTAATTTCTTGGTGACAGGATCTGTATCTGGGGGAATGAATTGTCTGGGCTAACTTTCTGGGTAATTATCTTTGGATGAAATGATTATTTTCCATGCAAATCTAAATAAGATGCAGACACAGAGGGTGCCAAGGGTTTCTGTATGCACTGGGGGCAAGAATAACAGAGAAGCCTGTTCTATGTTAGTGGTGAGAAAGCATCTCTTGGAAGCTAACACATCTACATACTCAAATCCAGACTCAGATTAATGGACTAGTTGACACTGACAGCAGCAAACCATCCCAGCAACCAAATGTGCATCCCTGCCTTGTAACTAACAGTGGGAGGATTTGGAAAGACTTGGTGGCCACAATTGTTTGAGAACTACAGACAGTGAGGCATTCTGCCTTGAGGTTGTTCTTATAGAAAATAGAGCTATCTCAAGTCCTTTGTCTCAACCTCATCCAGACATGGAGAAGACTTTCATCTCTTCTCTTCCTTACCCCCCTCCTTACCCACAGTTTTGGCTTATGCGAGGAGCAGTATGACAGAAAGTCCTCCACTCTCAGAATGGATACCCGTGTTAATTTCTGCCTGGAAGATGCCAATGTAGAAAAAAATGTTACTTATCTACTCAAACATGTACTCTTTGAGTATCACCACTTTGATGTATATACAAATTATATATATATGAGATAATTATATGAGAGATATATGAGATAATATATATATGAGATAATTAATTTTTAAAAGACATTTCACCTTTCACACTACATTAATAATGGTTTCCCATGGAGGTCTGCACAGGACCATCCAGATTCTTTTAAATCATCCTTTAAGTATTTCCTCTTCTTTCTTGTTTGCCTTTCAACCCTGTAGGTAGCCCCACAGTTTGTATCCTTCACTTAGGGCTGAGTGTTTTATCTCACCCCATCTTATTTCCATTTCCCTTTCTCTTGGTCTGTGCCCTGACACACTTAGGGAAAGAACAGTCCTCTGCCAGATACTTCGGTCTTTGCTTGAGGCAGAGCTCCCTGAACACCCACGAAGCAAAGACCACTATTCTGAAAGGGAAAGAGGCAATTGTTCTTTTGAATCCTTGTTGCTTGATGCAGGAATTTGGAAGGGAGAGACAGCAGCTCTGCTGGAGAATGTAAATTTTTTTTTTTTTAACTCACAGTGTCAGAACCTCAGTGCAGCTGCTCCTGGTTGGTGCAAGGAGTCAGGACACAGGCACTTTTTTCAGCAGGCTGGTAAGAAGCCAAACCCGAGAGAAGATGAGGAAGGGGAATGAGCCCTCATTCAAAACGATCGTGTTTCTGCATGAAAAGATCCATGAAAGCCAATTCCCAGCGGCACTGCTCACAGTAAATAAGCAAGTCATGCAGCCAACATAAGTGCCCACTGGCAGGCAACTGGGTAGAGAAATTATGACCAGATCCTCAGTGGGGTACTGAGCTATTAAAAAGGATGAAACTGCCTTTTGGGACAAAATGGATGGATCTCAAGGTGATTGTGCTTGGTGAAAAAAAGCTAGAAAGGATGGATACTGGATGATTTCACTCATCTGTTGGAATATAAATAACCAAAGAAAACAAACTGGCAAAGCACAGCAAAAATAACTCTTAGACTGTGAAAAATGCAGTGGTTACTGATGGAGGGGAAGGAGGGAGGGACTGAAGTGGGAAGGGGATAGGGTGTCTGTCCTGGAGCCTCGGTGGGGGTGGCAGTGGGCATGTGCACACGTGGAAGGGTGAAGCAGTGAAGCTGTACAGTACTGTACAGTAATATAAGCACACTGTACAGTAATATAAGCAATTGGCAAATCTATAAAGTTTGAGGAAAATAGAGTCATATTCGGCACTAATTTGTTCCTGTAATTACCTCAAACATAATTGTGTTTTGTGTGGCTTCTGAATCATGGTTTTCTCTTCAAGTTGGATGAAGGCATGGTAAGTGTACTGGCTAATACTTGCTACTTCTCCAGATGACACCTTTTTTTCTTAAGATGAATTTGTGTAAATCTTCCTCACAATCTCTGTTCCGAAGTATTACCAAGCAAAGTGAAAGCCTTGCCTTGAGGACAGGATTAGGACACTAGTCACTCATTGTTTTCATGTGATTGTTACATCCTCGCTAGCAACTCACTTTATTGTAGACATGAATAGCCTTTCTCTTGCATTATTATAACAGTGAGAGCATGTTGGTGGCCGGTGATAACGCGTGACTATCTTACAGAAGGACCAGACAGGGAAGCTGTCAGACCTACCTGCAACTCACCCCTCTGTCCATAATTTGAAATCATTTTCTAAGAAAAGTGCACTGTTAGGTTTAAGATTTGGTCCATATTTTGAGATATCTGCGGTATCTTAAGTTCATCCACGAGGAAGGAGCCAGGGCAGTGTGGATGCTATCTCTAATTCCTTCTTTTCGCATTTTCAGGCTGGGTGTGACCCACTGGAGCCCCCAGCCCGTTCTCCAGGTGTTGTGTGTGTTGACATAGGGTCTTCTTCTCCTGCCAGGAAACAACGTCATGAGAACCATCCATGGGGTGGGAGAGATGATGACGCAGATGGTGCTCAGCCGAGGCTCCATCTTCCCCATAAGTGTGCCTGACGTACCAGTCAGCATCCACCCTAGCAAGCAAGGGAGCCCAGTGGAGCAGGAGGATGTGACCGTCATGGACACCAAGCTGAAGATTATCGAGATTTTACAGGTGTGTCTCACAAGGGGAGCCAGGTCACAAATAATCATTGTGCCAATGGGTTAACACCATCTGTTTCTTATTCCAAATTACTGTGTTAATATTCTGGAATGCTGTTGATCTTATTTTAATTCTTCTAAGTGAATGACAAGCTTAGTAAGAAATCTCACCATTTAATCAATTAATTATACTTCTTCATTCCCATTCAGTCATTCCCATCCATCCTTGGATGATATCCACAGATGTGGAGTGCTTTGAGGTTGACAAAATCTCACATGAATTTTTTTCAATTTAGCCTTGACCCTGGCTAACTGTACTTCATTTAAGAATGATGTCAAGAGGCAAAACTGATGATTCGATTCCAATTCTTTTCCTATTTTTAATTGAACTGGACATATGACTTCGTGATTGTGGCAGAAACTCAAATAAGATTTTATTATAATAAGAACATTAATAATTGGCTTCAGTGTTTTCTGTAAGTGGCTATCTTTATTTTTGTTTCCAATAGGCTAGGAATAATACATACATTTTAAAATTAACCTAGTCTGATACCTAGCTCTATGAATTTAAAAGAGATAAATTATTGTTTTATGCCTGCTGGTTTAGTGAAGAAATATCCCATTACTGTAACTATGGATTCCTAGCATTTTTTAAAATTACAGAAAGTAGTTTTAAGATACTTTAATTATAGCACTTATTCCAGATTTGTAGAACAGAGCCTGGAGTTTTCAACGATCTATTAAGATTCTGGAGGCAGTTAACTAAGCCTTTCATTGTCATTTCATGTAGCCTGAGCTGCCAGGGGTGGGTTGGTAGCCTAACATTTTTTTAAGTAATTCGATTAGAGTTATAAAAGGATTCACAGTTCCCCCAGGACTTCAAAAGGCTGAGTCCTGAGAAGTATCAGCAGTCCAGCCACCACCATGAACATGACCCCAGGAGCTCACTGTGTTTTCCTTAAACTAAGAAAGGAAGTGGTCACCTGCCCTGTCGACTGAATGGGCCCACAACTTAGCATCTTCCTACTCCTGGGACAACTTCTAAAATATGGGACCTCCTTTTAGCCCACAGATGAAAGAACCATCTCGAACTGCTGAAAAATGGTGGTGGGAAAACAGTAGCAGCAGTTGAGGGCTGGTTCATTTTTGCTACCCCTCTGGGGCTCTTTGGGTCTTTCTTATTGAACCTCTGTTCTCACACTGCTCTTTGTTCCTCTGTGTCTGGGCCTGAGTCACTGAGTTGGTGTTCCTGATGCTTGTTCTTCTCCTGAGCAGACCTCTTCTGTCTCACCCGCTGCTCCCCTCAGCAGTGTATTTCAGTAAGTCTGCTTGTTCTGTTCCCCACTCTGTCTCTGGTGAATCCTCTCACTCTCCACACCTCTGGCCTGTACTCCAGTTCTTTTATGCGTAAATAAATACATCTTTTTTAAAAAGTTTAATTACATTTATCTGTTTGTTTTTTGTCTATACTACACGAGTGAAATCCTGCAGTGTCTTTTTCCTTCTAACTTATGTCACGGAGCATCATTCTTGTCTAGGTTCTTCTTTGTTGTTGCAATGGCGGGACTCCATCTTTTTTTGTAGCTGAGGATTATTCTATCGTGTATTTATATGACATCTTTACCCAGTCGTGTGTCCATGGGCACCCAGGTAGTTTACAGTGCTTGGCTATTGTGACTAATCCTTTGATGAACAGGGGGTGCATATATCTCTTTGAAATGATGTTTTTCTTTCTTTGGTAAATACCCAGAAATAGGATAACTGGGTCATAGGGAATTTCTGGGTTTACTTTTTGCAGAATCTCCACATGGCTTTCTACTAGGATGGTGCCAATTTATCCCTTTTATTTCTCTTTCTCTCATTCTCTCCGTCTCTTTCCAGTCCTCTCTTTATTTCTCTGCCTTCATTTTTGTTCTTCCCTTTCCTTCTTCTCCCCCCATCTCATTTATTTTTCACAATTAACTATATTAGAGTGTGAAAGTTTGTGTTTTGATTATATTGCTAAAATAGAATTCTCTGAGTACTAATCTTCAACTGAAAGTTTGTAAGTGTCTTATGAATTCAGGTTTTATTAATTTTTTTTACATGTATTCAATAAAGAACCTTACATTTTGTACTCTAGATCTGCCAAGAACAAACCCAATGGTCCTTTGTTAGTGCTTGTTGCCCACGATCGGGCTCCTGCTTTGAAAATCCCCATTAACTAGATTCAGTCCAAGCAGGGTGTGATGAAATGCTCACCACAAGTTAATGAAGAGTCTGGTGTTTGTTTTCCTCTAGATTATCTGTTCTTCCAAGGCAGCTCTTCCATATCTGATACTCCTTCAGCAGCAGGCTTAACCAATGTTTGTTGAATTTAACTGAACATAGCTGACAAGGAGCATACACTTTTGCAGCGGAGAAAGAAAGGGAGGGAGGGAGATTGATTCAGTGAGATTCAGCTGTGGACCTCTAGGTATTAGGTATAAATAATGTGTTGGGTGAGCAAAAGGGAGAAAAATTGATTTGTACTGGGAAACCAGGGAACGCTTTATTAAAAAAGGGATTTAAACTAGACCTTGGAGGTATCTTGAAAGCTGGTTATTATGGGATGGAGGGGAAGAATATTCAAGGTAACGTGGACACTGAACAAATGTGAGGAGATAAGAGAGCGTGAGACATTCCATCCAGGCTGTTGGAACAGACACGTGTAAGGGAGAGTGAAAGAAAGGGGCACAGGAGGGAGGAGCAGGAGGAAGAGAAATGCATTTGATACCAGAGACAGTGACAGGTGAGGTTAGATAGTATCATGAAATACCAAATTTTCTAAAACCTGAGTGATCATTATTTACTGCCCAAAGGAGACTCTTGCTGGGACAGTAGCCCAAACCCATGTGCCTTACTCTGCTGGGATGGCCAGTGCCCAGAGGAAGCCACTTCTCACCTTGAAGTCACTATGCAGACTTTTCCTTTTTTGCTCCCCATTTGTATTCTATGCCACGTGCTTTTGATCTCTGTGATTTTCAAATTATGTTAACAGTTAAAAGTCTCAACTCTTTCATTGATGTCTTGAGGGCAGAGTCTATACCTTACCATTCAAGTGTGTGTGTGAATTCGCCATAGAATTGGGATCTTACTGGCCCTAGTTTCTGTCAGTGTCAGTTAATGAGAACAAGGCCAGCAGCCCAGACCCATGGAAAACAAGCTCCAGCGAGGCAAACCCATACTATGTAGATGCTGTTGCTCCAGCTGCCCCTTGTGGCTGAGACCCAGGACTTTGGACCACACAACTGTACGTGAAACCTCAGCCTCTGCATAAATGGGGTCAGACCTCCAGCCGCTTCCCTTCACAGTTGCTGGAAGCTCTGCAAAGTACCGAGTGAACTCTCAGCACTACCTCCTCATCCAGACCCTGCACCACTTGCACCTGGACTATTCAGAGAATTAATCCTGGGAGCCAAATTTCCTTCTTTCCATAACTGTTTTGGGATTTTCCTGCCATTGGCTGACAGACATACGTGCCTTCTCTTAGTCTTCTGGCTAATGAGCACCTGTGGAGCCACAGCATCCAGAGTTACAAATGCCATTTCTCGCCAGGTCACGTGAAGTGACGGTGGTGATGTTATTCTTGGGGTCATGTCACAGGTTGCGTTGGTAAATACCGTGCTCACAAAATCAATGATTCACATGGTTTTTATTGTCCCTTTTAGTTCATCCTGAGTGTTAGACTTGACTACAGGATCTCATATATGCTGTCCATATATAAGAAGGAATTTGGAGAAAATAACGAAAGTGCCGAAAGCCCTGCCAGTGGCTCACCAGATACCTCTCTGCCGTCAGGTAACTTTCTTGTGGTAAATTCTACTCTTCGTCTTTGGATTTCCCTAGAACTAAAAAGTACCATTCGTATTTTACAATATACTAATATTTCTAGGAGGGACAGAAATATTGATAGAAATAATCTCTGTCACTGACACATAGTAACAGACCAAGTGTTCAATAACCAGCATAGAATGACAAGGAGACTGTTTTGAATAGTTTCTTTAGAATCTTCACACCTCTACAAAGCAGAGGCCTTGTTTATTGTGGCGTTTTATTGATGTGAAAACCAACATCAGAGAGGTTGTTACCTGCTTGTGAGGTCAGGGGTTCCCTCTGAGGTCTCTTCTATTCCAGAGTGTGAATCTTGTCAGCATGATGCCTTTTTGGTGAGAATCCACAGGACATTTTTCCTTTTAGATCAATGAGCAGCAAGTGAAATGCAGCCATCAGGAGAAAAGGTGTTTTTTTAGGAAGCTGTCATTAGAGTTGTTTATTATTACTATCATCATATCATCATCATCATTATCATTAGGAGATAACACTCCCAATGGTCTGCATGCTGGATTTCTTGGGCATGTGTGTGCATGTGTGTGCATGTGTGTGCACGTATACGTGCGTGTATATGTGTTTATTTCACATGCTTATAATCTGAAACTTTTTCAATTTTCACATCTAAAACATGCAAGTAAAATTGCTGTCTTTCTTTGAGTATAGGAGTGTAGTAACAAAAGAGCATATAAATGACAGTAACAATTTTGTGACTCTAGAAAGTTCCTTGGGAGACCCAAGAAAAGTAAAGTTCCATTTTCCCAGCTACATCAGGCCTACATGACTGAATGGAAACCTGTCCTATTAAAGATTCAGCCAGCTACCAGAACTTCCTTACTGGGGATAGGACTTGTACACAGATATGAAACCCCAACCTTAAACCCCAACCACTGTGATACTGTTGGACCCTCCTCTTCTTTGTCCATCAATTTGACAGGCAAGATGCAGTGTCTGTAAGTGTGTAGTTGATATGGGTGCTGCAGCCAGTGTCTCTCGCGCCAGCTCCTCAGTGCCGCCCACAAGGAGAGTGCCCCTAGAATTGGAGTCCCCAGAGAGAAGTCTGGCCCTGGAGAGAAGTCACTTCTGCTGCATTTGCCATTATGTTGTTCTTATGCTTCCCAGTGGTGTGGAGCCGCCCCCACCAGGCCTGTTTCCAGGAATGATAGGGCAGAATCAGAAAATCTTGCTGGAGGTTGCACTGACAGCATAAAAATTACTGGTTCACAGAAGCCAGACACCTGAAACGGGAGCTCTCTGTCAGGAAGCACTGGGAGGAAAATCTGGGGCACCCCCAGAAAACCACTTGTCTCTGCCACAACTTCTCCTTGTCATAGGTTAAATTCCTAAGAGATACTGTCCTGGGGCCAATTACCTTTTTTTTTTTTTTTTTTTTTTTTTAATTTGCCTTGACTGTTTTCTTTTTATGCTTTGGAGATGAGAAATAAATTGTGTTTATCATTTACACAGTTTACAGAAATTTGTTAGTTCTTGTGGTGAGCATCTTGTCCTACAAGAAAAAGGAGTGGGTTTTAGAAGTATACTTAGGTAAAAACACCATGTTGATTGGAAGCACCAAGTAATAACAAGGTTCATTATAGGAATATTTTGATTCTTTTCCTGTCCTCTCCCATTTAAAGTATGTATATGTACATACACGTGAATTTTATACATATATATACATACATTTACATAGATAAGGTGACCTTGTAAGTAGTAATTTTCTGACCTTGTAAATATATCTACTATAAATGTCAATTTAAAGTATGTGGAACTGCATTGTGATTTTTAAAGTTGTTCATTGCTTTAGGGTGGCATAAAGAAATTAAGACACACTAATATTAACATAAATATTGTGGCTCCTAATTAGCATTAGATAAAGGTTGGATTTTTGCCATTTATCTTTGCAGCCATTGTTCCTGATATCGATGAAATTGCAGCTCAGGCAGAAACTATGTTTGCTGGAAGGTAGAGTAACATTTATGTATCTTGTTCTTGTAAATAAGATTTTACTTAGTATTTATTGATAGTTTGTTGTCTGTTACCTTCCTTTATCTGCTTATGGTTTTCATATTTTCATTTTTATTTATGGAGGCTACCTGCATTTATAGCACTGTATATTATTATTAATTTTTAAATATATTTTTATATAATTATTCCTTTTTAAACAATGTTTGCTTCCCCCCGCCCTGGTGTAGCCCTTATAGAATTTCCTTTGCCAATGCAGACATGCACCATCACCACAGTCCCCTGTATAGCACTGTATATTATATGGAAGTATAGGATTACCCCTTTCTGGTGTTGTGAGCACACCACTGCCACCACAGTCCACTGCACCCCCTCCTCACTCTGCTTTCCACCCCCCCCTCTAGTAGCTTCAATTCTGCAGTCAGGATTCTAGGGTGTGTCATCTGTTTATTTTTAGATCCTTTATGTTATCAACGTAATTTCTATTAGAAGTTTACCGTAGGGAAGAAAGCATAACTTTTCTTTAGGTCAAGTAATATAAAGGACAGGATGAGATCAGCATATTGAACTCTTCCCTGAATTCTTTGCTTTTCTTTCTTCAAATAATGACAGCACATGAATGCCTTTTAGCTTCACTGGTATAAACATCGCCGTATCTTGCACAACATTGCTTCCCTGAATCTGAGAAATGTGAGGCAAGAAACTCGGTTCTCTTAACATTATCATTAACTTTATATGTAAGAAATAAAGCCATTTCCCGGCAATTGGAAATAGCCATGATTAAAAGAAATGAAATGCCTCTGGCAGGACTACCCTCCCTTACTCCCAGAGCCCCAGCCTTTTATTGTCTTTGTTTCTTTTACGGAAATCAAACTAACAACAGTCCAAAAAAGAGTAACGTGTCTGTGCTACAAATGATTGAATTAGTAGCTTTCATTTTTATTACAGATTTTTCATGAGAACCTTCAAAGAATTCCTATCCTAAGCCTTTTCTTGTATCTTCTTTGGTTAGAAAGACAAACAAGAACGGTGAGTGAGGGGAACCAGAAGGATTTTTCTCTCTAGTGAGCATTTTACTTCACTTTGTTCTTGGACTGTTTTGCTAGTTTTTGTCATTGCTCTTGTATTTTACTATTTAATCCCCTTTTTTTTAGTCCCGAGAAGAGAGAAGGAGCTGATGTATGGTTTTTTCGTTTTAAAATAAACAGACCTTTTATCCAGTGAAATCTTTCCCAGAGCTGCCCTTGCCATGGTTGTGTGTGTGTGTTATGTGCGCTTGTATATGTGTGTGTATGCATGTGTGAATGTCTGAGCATTTGTGGGTGTGCATTTGTGTGTGTGCTCTGTCTTCCCAGCCCCTCACTGCCTGCAGTGTCCAAGTCTCTAAGTCTCTAAGCTCTGGGGAAAATCAGTGGCTGGTCTGTCTCTTCAGTGAAAGCTTTGGATTGATTCAGATTCTTATCCTTTGTCCATGCCTCAGTGACCATGTCATCTGGACTTTTCCAAAGCAAGCACTGGCAGTCCCCCACCTCAGGACCCCCACAGGCTCCGACAAACTGGGCGGTTGGCTGCCCTGCTTTCACGGACAGACATGAGCTTGTCTTTGTGCATATTTCCTCATCAGTTACATTCATTTTCCAACTTATGCAAAACAGTGATCTAACTCCAGAAACCTAGACACAATTTAGCCATCTGTGTAGGTTTCATGTTAATATAAGCCGTTTTAGGATTTTTTTTCTTTTGTTGGTATAGAAAGGAAAAAACTCCGGTTCAGCTGGATGATGAAGGAGGCAGGACATTTTTGCGGGTCCTCATCCACCTCATCATGCATGACTACCCGCCTCTGCTGTCAGGGGCCCTGCAGCTGCTCTTCAAGCACTTCAGCCAGAGGGCTGAAGTCCTCCAGGCGTTTAAACAGGTGAGAATGAGGAGCCCTCGTGGCCCATGCAGGCAGCTCTGCACATGTTGCTTGTGCCTTCCTTCCCGACCACACGGCTGCATTAAGAGATCGGGTTGCTCTTCCTGGGAAACTGTTTATTTTTTTAAATATTCATTTATTTTTAGATATATTTTACATCATTCTTCTTTTTTATACAGTGTGTGCTTTCTTCTCTCAGGTGTAGTCCCCGTGCAATTCCCACCACCAATTCACCCTTGCACAGTCACCCTAGTCCCTTGTGCTATTCTCTCCTCTGATGTGATCCCTCTCCCTCCCTGCAGAGTGTCTCTGATTTATAGTTGCCTGTTAATTTTGTTTTTTTATTTTTTATGATTATTTTTTTCCTGATCCTTTATTTGGTTCTCCTATATTCCTCCTATAAGTGACACCATCTGATAATTTCTTTTTCCTTGTGGAATATTTCACTGAGCATAATTCCTTACAGCTCCATCCATGTTGCTGCAAATGGCATGAATTTATCTTTTTTGATTGCTGAGTAGTGTATGCCCAAAAATAGATGATTGGGTCAAGAAGATATGCCAGATATACACAATGGTATTACACAATGGAACACTTTCTGTTTTAAAAGATACGTATGGCCTCGTCCAATACCAAGACATGATCTGTTTTAGAAAGAGTTCTCCACAAGTGAGAGTCAGTTAGTATCTTCAGTGTGAATGACAGGCAATAAGATGTAGGAAGCAGTGGGGGATAAGACCATAGCCAGGAATTTTGTGTCACTGCTGTTCTTTTGACTCCAAATTTTGCTGATAAATTTGTTTAGGACAAGCAGTAGCACTGAAATAAATGTTTTGTGACTGGAAAAAAAGGTATAAATCTAAAATAAAGGGATTGTTATGGAAATAATCCTTTTTCTTCATCATCTTTGAATAACATCAGTCTTGCAATTATTAATGAATATTACCTAAATGATTACATGTGTTTTGCTGATACTTAATTTCTTTAATAAGCATTGATCTTCATTAGGAAGTTTGACTAGGCTATGTTAAAAATATGAAATAGAGCAATTATATAATAGATATAATTATGCTTATTATATTTGTATATGAGATACATATACATTTTAAAAAATTAAAGTTTATGGCTGTGAACTCTAGGTTATATCTATCAATATTTACTTCCACTCATTTTTAAGTTTCTACCTCTTTCAAACCAATAGACTAGTCTCAGAAGCTATTATTCATTTTAAATAACTCTTTAATGCTTAGAAAAGCAATGCTAAGTCTCACTTGTGAAAAAATTCTTTATAACATGTTGATATATTGTTTAGAGTGCACACAGATACTGCCAGGTAAGTTTTCATGGGCAGTTTACAGCTAAACACATCTAATAGTCATAAATAATCTTGAAATATCAAGCCTACTAAGAGACAAATATATTATAAGACCTGGAATTTTAGATGTATGCGTGTGTGTGTGTGTGTGTGTGTGTGTGTGTGTGTAAAGTAGCAATGAATACAATTCCATAAGTTGATTTAAGGGCTAAAATTCTTCTGTTTCCAGGTGCAGCTGCTGGTGTCCAATCAGGATGTAGATAACTACAAGCAAATCAAGGCTGATCTGGACCAGCTTCGACTGACTGTAGAAAAGTCCGAGTTATGGGTTGAGAAGAGCAGTAGCTATGAGAATGGAGAAATGGGTGACAGTCAAGTAAAGGGTGGAGAAGAGCCAATAGAGGTTTGATTTCATGATCTATTTTGAAATAATCCATACGATAGCTTTTAAATCATGTGCCCAACTGTCAAGATTGTTCAAAAACAAAAATTTTATTCTAAGTAACAGAATGTAAATCTTGTATTTGCCAAGTCAGTTAATTCCATAAATCTGTATTTTAGTAAATCCTGGTCAATTGCTACCATTTCTACTCTTGTCTACTTTCTTTACTCTTTGTTCTTTCCATTATGATCTTGAAATAAAGATAATGGGAGGGAGTGTGATGCAGAAAAACAGAATGTGTCCTGAAATTGGACTCTAACATAGGACTTCTTTGTTGTTACTATCCCTCATGGGTAATTACACCCTAGAAATCATTCCTTTTGTTATTGCATATCCTTGTTCACTATATTAAAATATCTAAATGGAAGACAATATGCTTTATTACCAACATGAAAATACTAAAAATCTGTATTTGTTCTAAAGAGTGATGAGATGGTGATTGTAAGTCTGCTGTATTGGTTTGCATTTTCAGTGGGCTGATGTTTTGCATTTCTCTAAATAAGCATAACCACTTCAGAAGATTTAAGGAATTCTTCAGTGATGATCATGAGATAAAATAATTGATAATGTATTGGTTTTCTTAGATGCTGGTCCTGTGATTCTTTTAGTTGTTGTTGTTGTTTTAAAGATTTATTTATTTATGTATATAAAAGCTGGGGTGTAGGCCAGAGGTTCAGGGGCTGAGAGGATTCACCAGAGAGACTGGGGAGCAGAACAGGCGGATTGACTGGAATATACTGCTGAGGGGAGCAGTAGGCGAGACAGGAAAGGTCTGCTGCACCTTGTGGGTCACTTCCCTGGCCAGCTGGGGATTGCTTCATAGTGCTGACTCTTAACCCCTTGTGCCACCAGGGTGGCCTCTCTTTTAGTTGTTTTTTAACCTGCAAGATTTTAAACAATTTAGAGGCCATTCTGACCCCAGATTTTGTGTATGTTGGAATACCAAATTATTTTGGGGGGAAAGGTAATGACAGAGTGGGAGACAGTTAGAATCATCAAAATGTTGAAAACCTCCCAGGGGAAATTCACCTGGGTTGTGGAGGGAGGGGTGCTGCTTCATACTTGTCTCAGTACTGGTTACCACTAGTCTGTATAAAATTTTTGAATTAATCTGTTAGGAACATTTTTTTTGTGATTCTATAATGTGAGTTAGTAGAATGTAGAATTTCTACTCCATACATTTTATTTTATTACTAGTTTTAATTTATTGAAATAGGCTTCTTCCATAACAGTTTTAAGAAATAAAATTTAGCATTTATTTTAACACTCTCTACCAAGTCTTAAGGCAAACATTTTCATGTATGGCATCTCTATTTACATGTTATAACCAACTTTGGAAATAGTTATAAAGATCACATTCCTAAGGATGAATCCTGTACGCTGGAGGTCAGAAAGCCCAGGATTTGCCAATTAGCTCTGTGTCACTCTAATGAGATTTTAACTCAGGTCTTTTTGATAAGTCCTGGGCTCTTTATTGTCAGATTGCACTTCCTGACATATTATTTAAATACATCAAGAGATGCATTATGTTTTCACAAGTTGAGAAAATGCTTCCTTTTGAAATTATGTATTCCACAGATATTCTAGAGAATAAAATAGTTGCCTCTTCTTACAGAAGGTTTTATTTAAAAATGCAAGAGCCTTAAACCATACAAAAATGCTTTGTGCTTTTTTGTGAATGTTTGCAAAAACAAACTGCCAGCCAAGCTAGGTGTGATGTCTCACAAAGGGCGTTCTTTACAAGTCTTCACTTGAAGTTCCAGTCTGCTAAGGACAGTGGAGAAAGAGCCTCTACCGTAGTATATAGATCATGGCATCTTCTTAGCAGTTTAATAAACATTTAGGTAACAAGGAACGACAATAATCAGTCTGACTGAGGATGTCTGAGCGATAAAGCTGCCTTACATATGGCTTGTAAAACTATTTTCCTAGGGACTTCAGACCAATACAAGCAGGGATTTATTTTGTAGGGTACAGGACTTATCAATTTAGGAAATGATGATTATTTTAAGTACTTCAAGCAGGAAGTGATTTCATACAAGGAGCTGAAGTTTGGGAAAGTCTGAAAGAGCACAAATTGGAATCTGCTCCTGGCACAGCTGATTTCAAGATTCATTATGGCTCTAGTTTATTTTTTTTAATTAATTAATTAATTTTTAAAACAATATTTGCTTCCCCCCCACCTCCTCAGATTGAGTCCCCATAGAATTTCCTTCCCCAATGCACCCGTGCACCATCACCTCAGTCTCCTGTGCTCCTCCCTCCCTCCCTCTCATCCCTCTCCCTCCTCTTCCCCTGCAGGATGTCTCTGGTTTATAGTTGTCTGTTTTTGCTTTGTTGTGTTTTGTGCTGTTATTATTTTTTTTTAACACTGATGTCTTATTTGGTTCCCCTATATTCCTGCTATAAGTGAAACCATCTGTTATTTTTCTTTTTCCTTTTGGCTTATTTCACTGAATATAATTCCTTCTAGCTCCATCCACGTTGCTGCGAATGGCATGAGTTTATATTTCTTGATTGCTGAATAATATTCCATGGTGTATATGTACCACACTTTCTTGATCCAGTCATCTATTTTTGGGCATTTGGGTTGTTTCCAGGTTTTACCTTTTGTAAATAGTGCTGCCATAAGCATAGGTGTAAAGGTGTTCCTTTGAATCAATGTGTTTATGTCCTTTGGGTAGATCCCTAGTAGTGGAATTGCCAAGTTGTATGGTAGTTCCTTTTTTAGTAGACTGAGGAATCTCGACAGCTTTCCATAGTGGTTGGACCAGTTTGCACTCCTACCAGCAATGTAGGTGAGTTCCTTTTTCACCACATTCTCGCCAACTAGTTTGAAGGTCAAGATGTTACTTTGGCTGCTGCCACCACCACTGACAAACACATCAGAGTATGTGCCTACATGATGGAGCACTCATATTTACTGGGATTTTTTCTCAGCCCTCCCAGGCCCAAGGATGGCCGTGAGTTGGATAGGCATTTAGAAGTATGGGTTTTGGAGTCAAACTCTCCTGCTGTGTGTATGTGTGTATATAGCACCTGTTTTCATCTCTAAGTTTTATTGTCTCTTCAATGGACATAATCACAGAACTGACCTGCTGGAACCGCTGTGCCAGTTAATATGGCTTCAGAATGAAAATAGAAGCAATAAGGTCACACGATACTTACAAGTCAAGAAGTAAGGCTCTTGTTTAAACTAATTCATTGTTTCAGTGCTGTTTCTTGGACCAGCAGGCTTAATTCTCAGGCAGATTTTTCTCAGGGTTGCTTCTTGGCAGTAGTGTCGTGGGCATCACCCCCTGAATCTATCAAGGAGCCATATTTATGCCTTCCTGGCATGGGATCTTCTCCGGGTGCCCCTCAGTAGATAGTACTGCGTGAATCCTTGGCCCAAACAGGGCCACATGCTCACCTCTAAACCGACAGGCTGTAAGATTAGGCTAAGGAAAAAGTCCCCCTCAAGCTGAGTTACAGGAAGGATAGAGGGCAGAACATAATGGGAACCTGTAACAAGGAGGAATGAAGAAAAGGTGGTGATCGGCATTCAAGAGTGTCTGCCCAAGTCAGCACCAGTGAATGCTTGTTAAAGTGCTTATTGTTCTTGGGACCTCCCTGGTGGCACAAGGGGTTGAGTCTCAGCACTATGAAGCAATTCCCAGATACTGCAGCAAGAGTTTGATCCCGGCCAGGGAAGTGACCCACATGGCGCAGCAGACTTCGCCTAGCTTGCCCCCTGCTCCCCTCAGCAGTGTATCTCAGTGGATCTGCCTGTTCTGCTCCCTGCTCTGTCTCTGGTGAATCCTCTCACCTCCCACCCCTCCTCCCCAGCATCTCTGACCTGTACCCCAGCTCTTGTATGCATAAATAAATAAATCTTTAAAAGAAAAATGCTTATTGGTTTTTAGGTGCAACATGCTGGGGTTTTTACTATGGTGGATGTAGAATGATAAAATCTTAGAGCTAAATACTATATAGGGTCTGAAGTCCAGTTCTTATTTTGTCTTGAAAAAGCTCACTTAAATCAAATAGTTCTTGAAACAAACTTCTACAATGGGAAATCCATTACCCCTGGGGGTAGCACATTCTATTAAAATTAATGTATAACTGAGGAAAGTAGAATATTCTCAGTAAGACCTGGGTCCCACACACTGCCACTCCCATGAGTGTACTTTGTTAATTTCCTGACTTTTCTTAATGATTTTACCACACGTGTCTGTTTTCCCAAAACATAAGAAATATATGAGACAATTTCATCTAGTTCTGTTTGATTTATGTTTTCCCCTCTCATGCTTGTGGGTGTGTAGGCAGAGCGCATTCATTTCCTCTAATATTAATACACTGTGGGTAAGTGTTTACTTAGGTCACTGCTGAGGGACAATTTTGATTCTTTACATTCTAGTGTTTGTAAAGAAACTTTGCTGCCAAAAGCAATGGTGCTATGAGAATTCATGATTCTCACTTGATGCACATCTTAAAGAGACTCTTTAGGATGTATATTTAGGCGTAAAACATTAGTATGTTCACCTTGGCCCAGGGATGCAAGTTGTTTTTCAAAGACTGAGGGACACCCCTCCTACATGTGGTGGGATTTCCCTTTGCTCTCCCTGCTTATAACTGCTGGTTTACTCACTTTTAATTTTTTGATAATTGGGTGTGTTTGATCGATTTTTGCTATTGTAATTTTCATTTACTTATGAGGTTGAGCATGTTTTCATATGTTTATTGGCCACTTCATTTCCTCTTCTATTTTAGTTCAAAGCTGAGTTCTGTATAGTTAGGTAGTCAGATCCTACCAATTCATCTATATCTGTCATTCAAGTTAAAATATCTTTTTTAAAATTAAAAAAAATTATTATTTTTTAAATTTTATATATTTTTACATCATTTTTCATTTTTGCACAATGTATGCATTTTCATCTTGGTTATAGTCCCCTTACAATTCCCACCCCCCTTGTTTTGAT